TTACCTCTCAGCTCTGTGTTCTTGGGGAACCCTGGCACAGGACACAGCCTGACTTACTCCCAAAGAATTCCTCCCCCCTCCCCACTAGCTGAACAAGAACTGAATACAAAAGACAATGAAGATGCAGTGGGAGACACACCTAAAACCCTCCAGATAAGGGTCACAAGAGTGAAACAACTGCCCTAGGTCTCATTTGCATCTGAGATGGAACCAGATGACCATTCATTTACCTGCAACATGGAGAACAGAAAGCCTGAAGCAGAGATTGCACTAAATTCTGGGATCAGAGAAGCAGGGGAGCACTGCATGATGGGGAATCTGTGTTCCAAATGCTAATCAGCCCATGTTTGCACACACCCAGCTTAGCATTTATCAAACCAGTTCTAATCTGGATTTACAAAGGACTTCCCCCCACCACCACTCCCCTCCCCCCCACACACCTCTAAGCAGAAGTAAAGTTTAATAGGCATCTTGGGCCGTACATTCCCCAGTCCCACTATGGGAGGCCTATTTAAACTTGATTGACTAAAACGTGGTTGCCAGGTTAGGGAATGCTGAGGCAAGAGACCAAGTCAGAGGGGGTATAGGCAACATTTGAGCAATGGTAAAGGGGTTCATCACAGCATCCAGCCTGTTGGAGCTCTGACCACAAGTGTTGTCATAATTTTCCCGTGAGGACTGGTGGAAGTCCTCCCCCTACAAAGGTTATGAACACTCCAATAATTGCCTTAAGTCTCTTAAAACGCTATAGTAAGATCTAGAAAAGTCATGCTAAGCTGAGGCTTCTTCACAAGAAGTAAAAATCCAAAACCCTGATGCTGCAAGCTATCTATTGTTTCTGAAGAAACCATGAGATATCCCATCAATATATCTGCTATCCATAGGAATTTCAAGTTGGATCCCAAGTATCTGGTTACTCCCTAACCTTATGCGTTTCCTGATTTTCAATCAGTTTCTTGAAATGTTCCAAACCAGATAACCCCTTGTCAATAGAAAAAACAATCATTTATGCTATTAAGAATGCTTTGAAGAATCTGAACTTGTTGGGTCAGGCCAACTCTCAGGATCTCAATATTGCGCTGTTAGTCAGGAGGATGTGACACAATTGCACGTATACAAACACACAAATCAGTTAGGTGCATACACACGCACACTACCAGCTCAGGCACATACACATCCAAACCAGCCTAGGCACATGCATGCCTCTTACCAATTCAAGCACATACACTATACACCCCAAAAGTTGGACACAGATCACTAATTCATATATCATGCACACAATGCCATATACACACACACACACACTCACACTAGCAACTCAGATACACACACGTTCAAAATAGCTAGTCTAGTTTCATGTACACCTATCACCAGTTTAAGTCCATACACGCTACACACACCAAATTTAGACAGAATCAGTTACCAGTTACCAACACCTGCACATTCAATACACATATGTAAATTACAAATTTATATACCACACACACACACACAATGATATCTATATATGCATATATATATATATGTGTGTGTGTGTGTGTGTGTATTCATTAATGTACACACATACCACCCACCTACACATACACACAAGTGAGTTCATAAGTTGGGTGTTGTGATGTGTATGTATGTATGTGTTTGGTGTACTTGGGATACCTGGGGAAAGGTTAAGGTAAGAAAGTAGAAGTGAAAGTTACCAGGACCGGGATTAGAACCGGTAGACTACAGGGGTCTGGGCTGAAGAACTGAGGCTCAGGGGTAACTTTATGTTAATTGATCTTAATTGATTAAAAAACAGTGCCCAAAGCCTGCAGAACAGGGAAGTGATGCCGGCACAGAGGCTGGAACGGGAGCCAGAGCTATGGGGGAGCTGAAAAGGTAGGTGCTGGAGAGGGAAAGTGGGACTAAAGGAAAGTGTGGGTGTTAAAGAGGGGCTCTGGATGTGGGGAGCCACAGGATGGTTCTGGGGCAGCTAGAGAAGTGTAGGGAGCAGCAGTAGGTGCTGGGAGCTGGAGAAAGGCTCCAGCTGCTGGAGAATACTGCAGGACAGCCACAAGAAGCTAGGAAGCTGGGGGGGCGGTGACTACAGAAGGTGTGGGGGAAACCTGAAAAAAGAGAGATGGACAGCAGAAAATCACAGGAAAAGCAGCAGGAAAGACTGAAAGGTGGTAGGAGGAAAGCAGGAAAGCAGAGAAAGGCAGCAAAAAGTCACAGGGAAAAGGCAGTAGGAATTGAGATGAGATTGGAAAACTAGTGGAGAGGGGTGGGGGCTGGAACTGAGAAAGAAAGAGAGACAGAGAGAGAGAGACAGGCTGGAATTTAAGATAAGGAAGGGACTGGGAGTCAGTAAAACATGACCCAACTTGGGGTTGCAAATGACAGTGGTTTTATTGAACAGGGGAGATGGTGACACAATGTCTTATTGTTTCCCTTGCACCCACCCACACACCCACACACACCCCTCCCCCCCCACACACACACACAATGGCAGCAGGGGTTAGAGAGGCTTGGGGCAGGGCTGAAGGCCCCTGAAGGCCAGGAGGAGAGAGAGAGACAGAGAGAGAGAGAGAGACAGTCCAAATTTAGGAGTAGGTGTGCAGGTAATATCTACCTATCCAGGCTGGAAAGGGGTCCTTGTTCAGTAGGTGTTGTCCAGAGCGGGGTTGTTGGCAGGGCCTCTGGGTGGATAGGTGGTGTGGCATGGTGCTGGTCCAGATGGAGAGGGCTGTCATCACTGCCCCTTTTTATAGGGGCAGACCTTGTGTGACCCTGGTGACAGGAGGCATGCCCAGGCAAGGGTCAGCCCCTGGCGTACTGAGCATGTGTGCTCCATGCAGGGATGTGCAGTTTCTGGTATCTGTAATGGTGAGAGTTGCTGGTTCTGCAGGGTCCTTTGTTTTTCAAATGCTGATCTTGTCTCTGTTCCTGGGTGAGGTCCGTGGTTCCTGGGTGAATCAATGCGAGGTGAGGGCCCAGTCATTACAGGCCATTCAGTAGAGGCCTGCTACGCCTGCTACCATTGTATTTCACTCATTCCCAATCACTCTCATTCATCCAGGAACCAATTTACATGGGAGGGATATGTGACTCATACAGTTGCGACACAGGGGATGCCCAGGCAGAGGACAGAAGATGGAGGCTTGACATATAAAATGGAAGCTTGACATGACTTTGGTTCACTTACAAACACAGGCCTAAACCATACAATATCCATATATCCAGACAATGATGATAATACAATCTACAACAGGAAAAATCAATACAAACCTAATAATAATACAATATAAAACAGTGGATATCCAAAACCAAAAACTTGCTACTAAAATAAAAATGTTTAAAGCTTATCCCAAGTCTGAGCTCACTTATACTTGTCTATAGGGAATAGAGAGGGAGAGAAAAAGCTAGAAATGGTTGGGGAGGGGGAATGAATGCATTTTAAAATAAATTAAAAAAAAATAAAAACGGGGTTTTGCAACAACCTGAGGGTATAAAAATCTGCATAAAAAGCAGCAAAATGTGTGTGCTTCAAGAGGAGAAGTCTCTCTCACACCACCCGCTGTTGTCTCCCTTTAAGGATTGTACAAGAACTTTACCTGTCAGCATTGCAACCCAAGTACCTTGGACTGGTGAGATCCCAGCTCTCTCTCTCTTTTCTCTCTAGGCATAAATTTCTGAAATTGAACTGTATTACTTAAACTTGAGCTAAGTTTCCCCATATACTTAGAGAAACTAGGATAGTATTGTAATTGTTTGTGTTTGTTTTTCCTTTGCATGTCTATTATTTTTAGTACCATGATATATTTCATATACTTAGCAATAAATAACTTTTATAGTCAAACTGGTAGTAACTGGGTATATTTTTCCTTCTCTGCTTCTGCTTCCTCACGTGCTCTGCAGCAACGCTTCTTTTACCTAAGCTAAAGATCCCTCTGAAGCCCTAAAATACTGTGGGGTCTGCTCATCAAGAGGCCAAAGATTGGGACGTGCTGAGTTTGAAACACGTAAGGGGATCAGCTTCTACAGGCTGATTGACCCAGTTTGGCTCAGACATGCCCTAATGAACTGAATACTGGCCTATGAGGGTGTCAGCCAGGTGTTCTGTTTAACTGTGTGTTTGTGTCTGACTGCAGTGTATTGTTGCTCTGATGAACTGATTCTTGGCATGTGAGGGTGTCAGCCTGTCCATGCTGATCAACCTGGCCGGGTCAGGTGTGTCACGTTAATCTGTGTGTGTTTGTGTGTGTGTGACTGACTTGGTGACTGGAGGAACCCAGCCCCATTGAAACTGAGTCCTGCAAGATAGCTCCATTGGGAGTGAGGACTTGGAAGGGAGATATACAGCTCCATATAGAAACACAAGTAACATAAGCAGCACATTTATAGAATTACCCAAACTCTAGAAATGTATCCCTAATAAATAAGCACACCCCAATGTGATGGGCAAATCTGGTAACACTTCCCATGTCCTCACCCTCCCCAAAGGGGTTTTCTCCAGGGTGGTGCTGCAAATACATCCCCCACTGCCTGCCCTGCAATCCCAAGCATACCCCTCATGCATGTGCCCCAGGCAGCACATGTAGAGCTATTTGTGTGGACCAAGGAGTGCCTGACCCACTACACCCTGCTGCTAATGGCCATGCTGCCCCAGGCACAACTGTACACATGGCACAGGACCCTAAGCTATGAATGCAAGCCCAGGCTGCCCCACAACCTTTGCTGCTGTTTGGAGGGCTATGTGGGACTGCTCTACATGGCCCTGTCCCCCACAGCCAAGGATAACATTGCTGCCAGCATCAACATATTCCTCAGCATGTGAGAGTCCTGTGTCCACCAAGCTGTGGGGGCACAGGCTGCTCAGTAAAGTTTTGCACTGTCTCCCACCTCCCTGGTTGTTGTGAAGGGAGGAACCCAGGACCAGGGGAGTGCAGCCAGGCTGGGGCCAGGGCCAGGGCCAGGGCCAGGGGCAGGGGTGGGTAGGGCCCTCCCCACACTGCAGGGCTTACCAAATGGCTGGGTATGGCATGGCTGGTGGCTCTGCATGATCACAGATGTCAGCTATCAGTGATGGTGTGCAGCTGCAGGAGGTGTCCTCAGATGGCAAGGTGCAGCGGGCAGGCACTCCGCCAGCCCAACACTGGAACAGAAGAAGCTCTTAGCTCAGAGCCCCAGAGCCAGCCTGAGGTCAGCCCCAATGGCAGGGCCTACCTGAGGGCAAATTTGCTCCCAGAATGGATGACTGGTGCCTCCTGAGTCGGGGGGGAACCTGCAGAAGCTGGCATCGGTGGTGGGGCTGGGGAGCACCTGCAGAAGCCTCCACCGACATTGGCAGTGGAGATGGCCTTGTCAGGGGGGGCACGCCCCTCCCCGTGTTCCCCCTACCAGTCACCTATCCCCATGCTTGTATCAGGGTCTGCCTATGTGCCTCCTAGGGGCTCTGTTCATTGGTGGAAAAGGTTCTTTGCATAAATGTGATATCATGAATGCCGTGTGCCCCCAGAGCCTGGACGGGCAGGGCACAGAGAACTCCTACAGATCACAGCAGCACTGTCAGCAGTGGGAGCATGATGATGGTGAGTGGTGAGCTCCTGCAGGTGGCCATGGTGCTGTCAGCAGTGCGGGGGTGGGGTAGCAAGTGCTGACCAGTGGTCGGCAACCACCCACAGATGCTGCCAGCAGCATTGGCGACAGCCAGTAGTGATCAGAGACCACCTGTATTCACTGCCGGCAGTGTCAGTGGTGAGGTGGGGGTGGAAAGTGGTGACCACCCAAAGACACCACTGGCAGTGTTGGCGGCAGCCAGCGGTGATTGGGGACTGCCTGCAGACACCACCAGTGGTGTTGGCAGCGAGAGGTGGGTGGCGAGCAGCAACTGCCTGCTTTTTGCAAGGGCTGCATCGCAGAGCTCAGGGGGTGCACATGCACCCATGTGCACCCCCTATGCATCACCAGTGGCTCCCAGGTCACTTCTACACATGCATTACTGCACAGTAACTAATTGTAAGTACATTTGAGGTAAAAAAAAACAAACCCTCATTATTAAGGTGTTTTAACTTCACAGTAGGCATGCAAACGTGTAGATGTGCATTCCTAATGCACAGTAAACTTTGCTACTGATCAGTTAAGCATGCTGTGTAGTTGCACCCACTATGTGAAATAGTTTATATTTGGAAATATACACAAGCACATTGACCGTGAATGAGTTTATAATAAATAATAAAATACCATGACAGGATATTTACTTGATTCAATATAATGTTCATATTTTTGTTGCCTTCCCTGTTCAAAGCAATGGATAATTGCTGTTTTTCAGTTATCCTGTCATTTTTTAACTAATATGTATTTCTGTAAGAAGGCAATCACAGATGTTGCTGTGAAATTAATTCTCCTGGATGCCATGGTTTCCACGGTTGTAGAATTCCACAAGTCAGTTGTACAAGAACTGCAAAATCTACTGGCTTCATAAATTTATAATCAATATATTGCCTAGGTGCATCCAGGGTGTGCCCTGTCCTCAGTTGGAAGGGATGGGGTGGTCAGGTGAGAGTGCTGTGAGAGGGTGTGAAGGAGTGAGAGAAAGCAAACAAAAGCCCTGAGGTGCCTTACATGCTGGGCAGGGGAGGTCAGGAGAAGGAAAGCATCCTGCAGCAACAGACAGAGAAAGTGAAAACAAACAAAACTCACAGCATGGAGGGCCAGCAGGGCTGCAGCTGGAGACTGGAAGGGAAGAGAAACACTCACCACACTTCCAGAGCAGCATCTCACTCAAGATTGGAGGAGGGAAGATGCTCAGAGGTATTTCCAGCACTGGAGAGGGGCAGAAGGGGGTCAGTTTCCTGCTAGCAGCAGAGAGAGGAGCGGCCGAGCGGCCCAGCAGGCAAGGGTTGCAAAACTTGCCAGAGGAACACTGCGGGTGTAACCCTGAGAAGGAGGCAGGCAGAGGCCTGCACACACAAAATTTTTGATAATCTCTAGAGTGGAACATCAGCTGAGGATGCGGGGAGAAAGAATGCACACAGCTTTTTTAATCTCTGGAGTGGAGTGTCAGCTGAGGATCCGGAGGAGAAACCAGAGAAAACTGCTGTTCCAGGTTATAGCCTTGCTTCACATGAGAGAGATCCCATTGGGACTGTGAATGTTCACAAGGAAGCCGGGCAGGCCTATGCAGAACAGTGACTGGACTAATTGATTTGTTTTGCTGTGGTGATTGGGATATAAAAGCCTGACACCAAGGGGAAGGGGATATGGATTGAGCCTGGCAAGGAGACTGAGAACAGTCGGGTTTGGGGGGGTCCTTTTTTTTTTTTTTTTTGATACTTGAATACAGGCCAAGGCCAGCTAGGGTGGGGTAAAGGGGAGGTTTGGAGCCCCTCAGAAGAAATGGGGATTAAGAGCAGGTAGGATCACCTTGGGCATTGCCTCCTAGAATATAATTTAATCAAAGTTGTGTCAGGTGCGAAACACAAGATCAGCTTCCTGGCAGACCAGGTGATCCAAAGCTGAGGTCCACCCTGTCACTGCCTGTAGGAACATGAACTCAGGGCAGTGCTAGCAAGCCCTACAACACCTACAGCCATCACAGAGGGGTATGCCATTGGAAAACAATTTTCTCTTTTCTCTATAGAGCCAGGCCAGGACAGAGCACTTAACTATAAAAAAATGTATTATTATTTACCCAAATCCTTAAATAAAAGAATAACTCTTAATATATAATTAAATATGAATATTTACAAATCTATAAAGGTAATAAATTAATAAAAATATACAATAGCCACAGATAAAAATACTTAAACAATCAAACACAGATGTCTACAAATAAATTCACAGATCAACTGGATAACACTACCCGAATCACATTAACATCATAACACCATTTATATATATTTTTATTTATAAATATATATAAATGTTGTTATGATGTTAATATGATTCAGGTAGTGTTATCCAGTTGATCTGTGAATTTATTTGTAGCTATAAATCTTCCCTCTTGGCAGAGACCCAGGCTATATGTATATGTATGTAAGTACGTATGTATGTATAGCCCAGGTCACTGCCAATAGGGGAAAATGGAGGGAAGACTATAATATAACTGTTTACCACATGGGAGGTGCAAGTCTTCCTTCCCTTTCTCCACACACCCTATTGGCAGAGACCCTTCAGCATTCCATTAGGGTGGAGAACCTGGCACCTCCCCTCTTCCTGCAGGGGGAAGAGGGACCTGTTCCTCAGGTACTCACAAGTTCAGGGATCTGGCTGGAAGGGGTGTCTTGGAGTCACAGGTGCCTTGTTTTGCCACCCTGGACCCAGCCTGTTGTCCTATGTTGGAGCTTGGACCACCTTGTGCAGGTCCCGATGCCCAGCTTTCACCTTCTGCCTTTTGTTGGGGTTCAGGCCACCTTGTGTGGGTACTGAAACCCAGACCTTGCCTTCTGCCTTCCATTGGGGCTCGAGCCGCCTTGTGCAGGTCCTGAAACCAAAACCCTAGACTTCCATTGCACCCCACTGGTGCCTCCCTGGTGTCCGACCTCATGCCAGGGAAGGGATTGCAAACCTGAGTGGCCTGGCACCGCTCACAGGGTTTGGGGCACCATGCACTGCTGCATGCACTGGGGTTCTTGGCCGCACACCAAGATCATCTGACCCAAGCTGCCACGGACGACTCCAGGGGGGTCTGGTGGCCCGTGCAGCATTGTGTGCACTGAATGGAGCCCGAGCACACTCTCCCCCATCCCAGGGCTGAGGATCCATGTACCACCATGGGTACTGAGTGGAGCCTGAGCAGGCTCTCCCTGCTCCCAGGGCTGAGACTCTGGGAGTGACTCCTCCAGCAGTGCCTTCAGGAGCCTAGGGCTATTGCCCACTGGGGTAGCTCTCCCCAGCTTTTCTCAGCTCTGCTCTTCTTGAGTTCCTCATCACATCTGCCCCAGTGTGACAAGCATGCTCTCCTTTTGTACACTTCAGAGGCTCCCCCCCTAAAGTCCGATGGACCTGCTGTGCTGCAGTTCACCATCATGTCAGGCAGCTCCTCTCCCCCACCCCTCAGGAAAACAGCAGTGCCCACTTTCCCCAGCTTGTTTCTGATAGCTGGATTGCCTCCACCAATCAGAAATGAGAATTGTCAAGCCCCTGGATGAGTTGGAGCATGGTCAGGTAAATCTGTCACAAATACTTTCCCAACTGTGTCCTCATCTCATCCAGATACAACGCAACACATATCAAACCATTTCCCTCTCCCCTGAAAAAAAACCCACCAAAATAAACACTTTATCTCATTATGGTGCGGGAGGTTGGGGAATGTGCGACTGTGATAGAATAATTAGGCAATAGCATTACCTTCACTAGGCACAACCAACCAACCAAAGTTCAGATGTAAGACCACACCATGTGATGAAGCCCCCAAATATGGGAGCAAAAACCTTCATGTAAGAAGCCTAACATGCTTTGGGATTGTTGGTTTTGCATAAATTAGTCTTTCTGAGGCATTCATCTCTATAACTCTTCTAAATGCTATCACCCAAGTAAACACAGCAAGACATCTAATGAATTAGATTAATACTTGCTCCTGTGGAGTTGTTGAAAAAGCAGAAAGTGTTATTCTCTTCAAGTATTTTAGGAGTCTGGATTAGGAGCCTTGCTCTGATGGGAGAGAGTTTTATGAAAGGAGAAAATCCTTTCCTCTCACAAATCAGTTTGCCTGCCTTCATACAGTATTTTTCATTTATAAAATATTATAACATTAATTTCTGTAATTAGTCTTTTAATTTTATTGACACACACATTTCACATGGCAGCATTGCATTAGCTCCTTGATTATCTTTTTAGGAGATAAAATACAAATGTATTGTAGGAAGATACTGATTCAACTACAAGAAATACATTTACATTTTGCAATTCTGCTGTTTATGAGTATAAACCATGGAAACAGGGCTAGTGCTACATATTAAGTGCTATACTTCTACATAGTAATGCAGCTATGTTTGTATAACATCTCTGCAGTTGGGACTTCCAGTTGTTATTTCCTATAGGAATAATGGTGCCTGATGGTTGAAAAAAACCTGGAATATAAACTGCTTTAAAGGATGCATTATATTCCCAGATTGTAAATGGTCTGCAGCTTTTTGTATTATTTATATGTTATAATTGTGGATGAAGTAATAATTTATTACCAGACAATACCCAAAGCGTATTTTCCTGAAATGCAAGCATATATGCCATTTCAAATAGGAGACCCACTTGCAGAGGTCTGCAGCTACAACAGAGAACATTTAGATTCCTCTCAGGAAAAACCTTCTAATGGTAAGAAAACTAAAACAATAGAATGAACTGTCTACATAAGTTATAGAACTCTCTATCACTGGAGGTTTTCAAGAAGGGGTGGGATGATTTATGAAGAGCATATCTAACATCTCTGGAGATACCTAGACTAGATAATCATCCCCTGAGTGTCCCTTAATCCTATGATGCAGTGCTTCATTTTCTTCATGGCACACAACTTTATGTTACTAAGAGGGCTTCTGTTTTCTTGTTCTATTCATGAAAATGGATAAAGGGAAGGAAAAAACGAATTATTGTTTGATTGAGTCCACAGCACCATGTCAGGGTAAAAATATTTAGAGTACAAATGTATATTGGGGAAATACTGATGGCTTACCTTTGTAGGTACCAGCAAAGCAAGGTTAACAGTGGGTAGGGTCATAGAATCAGGCAGGAACACTAAAAGCTATAAAGGATGGCTGCTGCTGATAGAGGGCCATGATACATTTTGATGATCCAGTGCTTTAGTACAAACAAATTTGTCTTTCTTTTCCTCATGGCCAACATCCTTTTTTTTAGAATGTTCTGATTCAGCCCTTCCAATCCATTACATTCTTTAATATACTTATGTAACAAGCCGTTTAAGGGGCACTTACCTTCCAAGTGTTCTAAATCAGGCTCTGCTTGAACACTTGAGGGAGATTGTGCCAACAGGGACACCATATTGTAGTTTGTATTCTTCGCAGCAAATGGATGCAAGATTGTCTCAACAGGGAAACCATAGTTGTAGTTCAGATGATCCCCAACAAGGGGATGCAAGTTTCAAAAAACTATTAGGAAGCCCGGGAAAATTCTAGCCCAGGGATTGGCTGGGAAGCTCCCCTTAAAACTAAAGTGTCTCCTCACCCCTGGTGTGGAGAAAGAAAGATGTGAGCTGTATGAGAAGGGCTGAGAAGAGCCTGCAGCATGGTCCCACCCCATGGTTGCCTGCTGGACCCCTTGTGGGTGGGGCAGAGGCCAAAAGAGTGCCTAAAGGGTCCAGCAAAAGAGAGCAAATCCCTATAATGAGCAAGTGAAGTTCATGAGTGAGCTGAACAAATTCCTTAGGGTGGTAACACAGCCCAGGGAAGTTCCTGGAGAGCGGGACAACGATTCCCTGCTGGGTTTGGAGACTTGGGGGTTGGTAAGAGTGTGATAACCATCCCACTCCATATGAGTAGTTGGGGAAAGGACTGTGACAGCACTGGGCAGCTTGTTAGACAGAGATACCATCTAGGGAAAGTCCCCAGGATGCCTGTATGGGTTGCGATTCAGGGAGGCATGACCTGAGGGGAAGCCTCAGTGTGCCTGAGTGCCTTAAGGGGAAGTGAGCCCAGAGGTGCTGCCTGCTGTGCTGGAGGCAGCTTGCTCTCCCTCTGTGTGTTTAACTGTGTAAACAGCTCTGTGGGCTTAGAGATGCCATTCCTAGGCAGAGAAGAGCACACAGAAGTGTATGAAGGAGAATTTGTGTTTTTCAGGAGCCTGAGTGGAAACACTTTCTGCAAACTGTGAGATACTTGGGCATGCTAAATCATTGACCAAACTAAATATGGAAATAAATCACAAGAAATAGACCATCTAAAAAGGTCATCCCCAAAATGTACTGACCTCTGTG